TTCGTTTTTTTTTTGTTTTCGCACAATCGTTTTTGTTTGCGCTTTAAAATTTTCTAAGAATAGAATAAAATACTTACATAAGAGTTTGTGAAATTTACATTTTGAACACATTCAGTTTTCTAACATAACAGTAATTCGTAACGATCATTAACATGAATGACATCACTCACTCATTGATCATTGATACATTTATTGATTGATCAGAGGAATTCATCAAGATCGATCGATAATTTTTTATCACGAACAATTGTGTTTGTTGTTTTAACTGACTCTAATCACCTATCATTCACTTCTATCAGCGCTCCTCTCGTAACAACTGAATTTCTTTGTTTATCCTCATCCATTTAATTGCGTTTGTACAAAATAAAGTGACCTGCATCAAAACAATGCAAAATTTGATTCCAATATTGTTATCATTAATATTACTGCCCTAACAAACACCCTAAACCAAACCAACCTATTTACAAACACCTGATCAAGAATCTATTAATTCAGCAGCAATAGTTCCCGTTCATAACCGCATACTGATCAAAACCATGCTGCATACCGATCGGAATTAAGATGCGATCTGGGCTACTGATCTCTGATGTATCGCTATTGTTCCGAGTCTCGAAATGCTTCCGGATTCAAGTAAGTTACAAATTCATTCTCATTTGCAAATTCCCGATGAATTACTCGTTTCATATGCAATTACACAATCGCTGTTCTGTTCTCGTATAATCTACTGTAATATGATAATGATGATGCTCTCGAGGAGTTTTACATTCGACGTAATATTTGAGAAATCTTCAGAAGAGTCAACATGGACAGCAACCGCATGTTTTATTTTGACTTCGTTTACACAGTGCACAGGCGATTTCGCGTTTCATTCTAGAGTTTGATTTCAAAATAAATAAATAGAGCATTCAAGTGGAAACAGCATTCGAAAGTTTAGAAATGATATACTTTAATCTGCTTTTACGTTCCTTCATTCATCATCATTATTAGTATCATTATCTGCTAAGTGCAAGTTAGCGTGTATACATTTGTATATGTATCTATTTTAAAGAAATTTCAATGAAATGTCAAAATATTCTAATTGTAAGA